CTTCAAAGTAAACCACCAAGATCCACATGGCGTTATATGCTTGTTATTGTAGCACTCGGAGACTGAGGCAGCAGGATCTCCATGAGTTCAAGGCCAACCTGAGCTATGTATTTGAGACCAGCCTTAACTACACAGTGAAACAATGTTTCAAAAAACAAAACAAAGCAAAATAACAATAACCATAGACATAAAATGAAATATACACCAAAGGGCAGAAAACATGACAGAAAAATTAGGTTTCATTATATAAACATTGAAATGTTTATCTGCTTAAAAAGATAAATTACAAAGTAACAAGTGTAAAGTAGGAAAATAATTGCAACATATATGTAGAAGGACAAGTTTGATAAGTTTAATATCTAACTTATGGAAATGTATATAATATATAGTTTATATAAAATAAACACTCTCCAAAGAAATAAGAAAAGATGTATAAAGTATGGAAAATGTCAAAGGTCATGAACAGGATATTAAATGAGAAGTAGCTGGCAAATAAGTGAGTACATAAGCCATTTTATTGGTAATAAAATTCAAACTAAAAAGAGATATGATTTGTTACCCATTAAATTAGCAAGAGAGAAAAAATAACAATGTCCGTGATCGTTTGGGTGCGTCGAGGGGTTTGAGCCGGTTTGGTTTGAGCTGAACTCCTGTGCCCCACTTTCTGTAGGGCAGTTTGACTATATGGATCACAGCCTTAAAATGCACTTAGCCTTTGACCCAGTAGTGCCCTTTGCCTTTGATCTTGGTTCTAAAAGGGAAGTATTTTAATGTTTTCTTTTTCTGATTGCATAAATAATTCAGTCATACGAAAGCAAGCTATAAACATAGTTTAATGATATGAAAAACACCTAACATCCTACTGTTAGCAGACTGTTCACATTGAAAGGGCCAACACTTGGTTCGTGGCTACCATGTTGGGCGTCAGCCTCAGCGGACACTGTGGTGGACACTGTTTTACGACACACGTACGAGTGTCCTTCGTCTCACTCTGGGTCCTCATTGTAATTTCATTCTGACATTTTGAGAGCACTCTCCCATATTTCCCCGTCCATATGTGTGCTTTCACACAAATGGAATTACATAGTCTCTTTTTTGTTACGTTAGTAGCACATTTTTTTTTTGTAGTTTTAAAATCTTTTTATTTCAGCATATCAACCTCTCAGCCTTAGCCTTGAACTTTCATTACAGTTAGCATGTATACCAAAAGTCAGACGAAGGACCTGTGCGTGTGTGTTTTAAAGCTATGTGACATTGCTGCTGTTATCAATACAGTAGCCACTGACCACGTTTGCTGTTTAATTTAATTAAAGTGAAATAAAATTCAGCTCTTCAATTGTGTGAGACTTATTTCAAGTACTCAGTAGTCACCTGTGACCACCAGCTTCTGTTACTGGGATCACACAGCAAAGGACATTTCTATTGTGACAAAGCTTCTTTAGGGAGATGGATCTTTTGCAAAAGAGAAAGAGACCAAGAGATGGAAGGAGGAGGGGATGAAAAAAGAATTAAGGTGTGTTATGTACCGTGAGCCATTCCTCCCCCACGGACGTAATCATTATGTGCTGCAAACATGTACTGATACAAACTGGTTAGTAGTGTTCACGGTTCCATTACCCAGTTATGAAAATGTCCCATTCTACTTTTCCCCAACCTGGAATTATCCCATTAATATTTGGCAGTATGGAAAGTAGGAAGCAACATCCCTGTTATTTTTGTTGTTCTGTAGTAAAGTTTCAAAGTTTAGTTTGCTTCATCAACTTTATTACTTTTAATTAAACCATTATTTTCGTAACAGTTTTCTTTTGGAGAGCTGAGCACTTAAGAAAGGTCATGGTTTTAACCATCATATCATGTGTGTTTAGCATAGCATTCTAAGGGAACAGGCTCAGAAAAAAATACCAGACCGTATAACAGGCTGTCCTTCGGTTACGTTCCAGTCATGTGCATGTGTTTCACATGGGCTGTGTCATCTGAGCCCCGCAGCACCCTTGTGAAGTGGGCTGTTACTGTCCTCATCTTCCAGTGGGAACGCAGAGGCTGTGAGAGTTAAAGGATTTCCCCAGGCTTACAGAGCTGGTGAAGATGACTTGAGCCTGGCCATCTGCAGGTGACCACTGGTCTGTGCTGAGATTCTCTGTGCCTTGTTCACAACTTGTCCAAATTATACTCTCTTCACCTCCTCAATTTCATTACCCTGGCTCCTATGTATCAAGCATCCTAATTGGACATTGAGGTTTTTTTCTTCTGGAAATTGCGAGGACATATTGGTTGACTAATTTTATTATTTTATCTTTTAAAATCACACACACACTTTTAAAATCTTTTAAAATTATCTTTTAAACTAGGAGCTATTTGTGTTTATAGTTATTTCCAGAAATAATTCACAAGGAAGCAGTGTGTCATGGTTTATGTGGATGGCCCCAGGCCTCATGCCTCATGCATTTGCATTGTGCATTTGTGATTGGTTTATTGTCTAGTGCTTGGATTGAGGTGTGAGTGCTACACCAGCCTAGGGGTGGAGCCAGGATGTGATGTAATGGCAGGAAGGCCTGTGTCTCTCTCTCTCTTGCTGGTTTTGGCTTGCTGTTTGCAGCTGCCACGAACTGCGCCCCGCCATGCCATCTTGCCTTGGAGCCAACTGAGTATGGACTGAAACCTCTAAAAACTTTCCCAACTTTGGGCATCAGGTATTTTGTCTCAGCGACAAGTAAAAAGTAACCAAGACACAATAGATGTGTTACATAGGGTGTTCTTTACTTGTTACAATAAGAATCTGATCAATATAACATGTCACATAATTGGATATTAATTTATTAAGCATATATTCAAGTAGAGGAATATTTTGCAACCTTTAAAAGATCATGTGATGAAAATCACCCACCTAAGGGAAATGTTTACAGTGCATTTCTGAATGAAACGAGCAGACTGCTGCACTACATACGTAATGTAAATCTGCTTCACACACACAAAGACCAAAACAAAGCAAAAAAAAAAAAAAAAAAAAAACACCCCACAAATACATCTGTGCAGGCATGGAAAAAAACTGGATAGCTTCTGTTGCTTAATAATAATAGTGACTCATATTTTTGGATATTGACATGTGAGTGATTTTTATTTTTGATGTGTAGGTGTTTTACTCTCAGATTTTCTACTTTGAACACATCTTTATACTTGGCTGTAGGAGTGTACAGAGGGAAACAAGTAGCAAGCTTTCCAGAATAAATTGTTTACTGTAGTATGCATTTTCTGGACACATCATTCATGCTAGACCTGAGGGAAGTGCAGAGAGAAAGCACTATCTCTTTTAACAAACGTGGTGTGATTAAATGTTCTGTGTCTTTTGGGCTTTGTGCTTAGTGCTCAGGCATGGAATCTAGTGCTCACCTTCTAGGACAAGGCCATGCATAAATAAAAGATGGTAAGTGACATGTCCAGGGGCCAACATAAGAGGCAATATAAACCCCTGTCACACAGTAGCTCATACAAGGTTCTGAGCAAATCAACTGAGCTAAATGATGGAATTTGTTCTGTATCTGAAGGGACAAAAAGAATGTGGGTTGGTGGGAAAGAAAGGTTGAACTGTGAGATAGAGAGAGATGAGGAATTTTGTCTACTACCTAACTAGAACAGAGCTTCCCGTCTAGACCGTCCTATGCTAGGGCTTCAGATTTAGGGTGAATCTGTGAAACTCGAACTATTCATAATATTATGTATGAAGTGTGGTCCATATATACAGTGAATCTTTACATCTAAAATGTTGTTACAGTAAAAGACACATTGCCACGAATCATCCTCAGAACCCTTCCCCTCCCTCCAAACACACTTATGCCTCATTCTTACCACTTTGTGGAGAGTTCTGGGAGTCCTGTCACCTGAGTGTCTCATGAGGTGTGGTAAAAAGTACTGCAAACACTCCTGTTTCCTCACCCTTCAATAGGCTTGCGTCTATTTATTATACCTGGGTTGAACGAGGGAACTTCGCACCAAGCCGCGTCTCCTGTGTTTTACTTTGTTTTTTAAACTTTGAGATGGGGTCTCACTAGCTTGCTTGGACTGGGCTGTCACTTACAATCCTCCAGCCTCTGCCTCCCGAGTGCTGTTTTTACAGGTGTGCACCTCCGTGCCTGGCTTGACACTTCTTCTTCATCTCTGTGGCAAGATCTTTCTTATGTACTCTACCTGTATTTATTTATTAACTTTCTGTTTATAAATGATTACAAATTCATGAGAAAGTGTAAAAAACCTAAATACGAGGACACGAGTATCTAGATTCCTTCAGTGGTAGCATCTGGCGTAACGGTAATACAGTGTCAAAGGTGGGAAAACATTGGTGCACTTTGCAAAGGTTGGTAAACTTTGATCACTTTTTTTTTAGCTTGTGGGTATGTGGTTCTGTGCAACTGTGGATATGGACTGTATGTGTATTTACTTGTTAAAGAAACTTCCAAATGTTTTTCAAAGCAGTTGTGTGTGTCATCTTTACCTACAGTGAATTTAAACTTTTGTTGTCTCATTGAAGTAGAAGTTATGGGACAGGATGACATCCAGTCTGGTCACCTGTGTGCTCTTGGGACTTCATTTCTGTAATTTTTAAAGAAGAAAAAAAAGTTAAAGTAGAATTTTAACAAATGAAAGAGTTCTCAGGAAAGATTTTCAAGCGTGATTTATTTTCACACCTCTCTGTGAATATGTTTACTGTCTCTGAGAGGAGACATTTAAGAGTCATGATCAGTGACTGTCCTTCAGTGAGAAGAAGAAATCAGAGGCTCAGGACCCCTGAAAGGACTTTACTGCAGAGTTTTTCATAACATGGATGCACCCTGGAGAACATAGATGCTAAATACCCGAATGGAGCTAGAGCTGACAAGAGGGAGACACAGCCACGTTCCCTTGCTCCTGATTCTCGTGAACAACCTGTTTGTGCCGCATCTATTTCTGTTCTGTGACCTTTTCAAGTATTGAGCAGTACCCCTCAGATTTTCTGCTTTGTGTTTCAGGCCAAAGAAGCCCTCAAAAATACTGAAGTTCCTGTTGGCTGCCTCATGGTTTACAACAATGAAGTCGTGGGGAAAGGAAGAAATGAAGTGAATCAAACGAAAAATGTATGGGAGCCGAGCCACACAATTACAAACACGCAGCAGAGCCGGGGCAGAGTGAGCTGCGGCAGTTAGCCAAGAGCCGGGACTCGAATGGTGCCCCGTTCTTTTTGAATGCTGTTTCGTTCAGTTGTAACAGTGATAGAATAATTTTTTGAGATGTGGAAACTTCAGAAAAATGTAATGAAGTTATAGAATTATAATGAATAATCTTTTGTAGCACAGCTGCTTGTTCTGTAGAGTAAACGGGGCTGAGGTGATGCAGTACAATGGTTCGTGTATCGAGAGCTGCAGGAAGATATGATTCAGGAATTCTGAATCTGAATTTCTTTATATTTTAAAGAGAAAATAAAAACAGCAGTAGAGAATTTCATAACAATAATAGGAAATTGATAAGGGTTAATATATCAAGTATTGTTATCTTCAAAGCAGTTGCTCAGATTATAAAATAAACCATACAAAATTGGTCAGACAGTATAAGCACAGACTGTTCTTTTCAATGAACTAAAAGATACTAACAGTATAATTATCTTGACAACACACACACACACACACACACACACACATATGTATATATATTTATTTATTTATTTTTCTTTTCCTTTCCTTTCCTTTCCTTCTTTTCTCTTCTCCCCTACCCCAGTTGGGAGTGTTTCGAACGGATTCTTTCCCTGTCACAATATCTATTGTAGATTGTGGATCTTATTTACTCTTTCAGTTTCTTACACTAGGAAGACATATGATGTTTATACATTTGAGTTTTACAGATTTCACTTAGTATGGTCTCTAGTTGTGTCCATTTACCTGTAAAAACCTTGACTTTATCTTTTTTTAATAGCTTAGTAGTACTCCATTGAATAAAACATCTTTTTTATCTATTCTGCTGTTGATGGGTATTTGGGTTAGTTCCAAGATTTAGTTATTACAAATAATGCTGTTATAAGCATGGGTACACATATATTGCTGTAGTATGATGTTTTTAATTCTTCTGGGAAAATACCCAGAAGGGGAATAGCTGGGTGGAATGGGATGTTTAATCCTATTTTTTTGAGAAATCTCCACACTGAGTTCCACAGTGGGTGCACCAGTCTACACTCCCATCAACAGTGGAGAAGGGTTCCTTTTTCCCCACAGCCCCACCAGCACATATTATTGATTGATTTCTTGATGATAATCATTCTTTCTGGGATGAGACGGAATCTCAGTGTTGTTTTAGTTACACTTCTTGAATGACCAGTGATGTTGAACATTTTTCCACATACTTATTTTCCATATGCCTTTCTTTATCTGAGAAGTGTGTGTATTCTCAGGTGCACATTTTTGGAGTGGGTCTTTGAATTTTGGGAACCTGCTTTTTTTTTTTAATTCTTTTTATATTCTACATAGAAGTCCTTTGTCTGAGGGAAAGTGGGCTGAATTTTTCCTGATCTGTGATTGTCTTTTCATTCTGTTGGTGCTTTCTTTTGATGTGCAGAAACTTTTTAATAAGATGAGATTCCAGTTATTGTGAATCTCTTAAAAGACACTCAGCTTTGGGGAACTTTTATTTTTTTAGAAAAAAAACAATGGGGGCGGGGATTTAGCTCAGTGGCTTATTCATTTGCCTGGCAAGTGTGAGTTCGTGAGTTCAATTCCTGGTACCAAAAAAAAAAAAGACAACAACAAAAAAAAAGAATAAAAATAATACAGAATTTCAAAACTAATAGGAAAATGGCATATTGTTGTCTTCAAAATAGTTGCTCAGATTACAAGATTTAAACATGACAAATGATCAAACAATGAAAGCACAGACTGTTCTTTTTGATGAACTAACAGGAGAATCTTGTTTTTTAAGTTCTCTGCTGCGTTTCAGTATGTGGTCAGGACTGGCATCCTTTCTTCTCTGATACTTCCTTCCCTGAGTGTTTAAGTCTGATTGACCAAAACATGACCTCTGAACAGCTCTGCTCCCAGCTGGCCCCCACGGCGTCTTGGGCCACAGTGCTGTCACTTTTCATGTCACACCCTAGATCATAGGAAGGTGCATTAGTCATCTTCCATGGCTGGGACAAAACACCTGACACCCCCAGCTCAAAGGGCTGGGCTTTGTTTTGGCTGTTTCCGTTCCAGGCAGCAGGCTTCAAGGTGGAAGGGCCTGGCTGGGGAAAGCTCTTCAGCCCGTGGCCCTCGGGAAGCAGGAGGAGCCGGGAAGCTGGGGCAGGGATGCGCCTCTCCAGCTGTGCCCACAGGGACCTGTCTTTTCCAACCAGGTCCCACCTCTAACAGCAGCTTCCTTGCTGAACTCCCCAGTGGATGAGCCCACTGATGGATGTGGTGCCTCCATAAGCCAGGCAGCTTCCAGACACCTGAGGCTCTTGGAGGCACACTTTGGATCTAACTCATAGCAGTAGGTGAACAAGTACCTCTCTGTTGGCTGCACCAGTCTTTTTTTTTTTTTTAATTTTTTTGGCTTGTTGAGGGCAGAAACTTTTTTATCCTATCCAGCATTTATTTAGCACACTAACTTACACAACACATTATTGGTACTCACTGTCGGTTATTGATACATGCTACTGTGTGGATCTTGTGAGCAGTTGTTGCATAGAAGAAGGGGGCAGGGAGGAGAGGTAGAGTACACACAGCATCGTGCACCACCGTGTCTCATGGAATTCCAGTTGTCTTGGGGTGCAGAGGGGTAGATCCCAGGGTACCTCACTTTGCATTTGGGAAAACAAGACTTCAAGCAGTTAGATAATTTGTCCTGACCTCATAATTAGTATTGCTCCTGTCTGGATGCAGATTTAAATGTGATTAATTTCACATGCTGTGGGATGTTTCCTCTGGAATACTGACTCTCATGAGATATCTGAGACTAACACTCCATATCTTAGCTTCTCCAGAGTTTGCCGGCTTATAAAAAAAATTCATCCTCTAATACAGTTTGCTTAGAGTGAGGTCAGTGACAGCCTTGAAAATATATTTGAAACCAGAGCATAAGCTGATGAAAATTTCAAGCTTCCCCTAAAATATTCAGAAGCCCTAGATATCTCTCCCCTCCCCACCAAGGTTTCTCTTCTCTATGGTATTTTAATTGAAAGTTCCCTGTGAATGCCTGAGGACCTTAGCTAAGAATTCAGCAGGATTTATACAGCGTCTTGGAGTAGGTGTCCTCTGTGGGTGAGGTTATGATACTTGAACCATGGAATCGCCGTGAACTGCTAAGTGTCTCCTGCAACCTCAGTGATTAAACTGTTGGTAGAAGCGATAGGCAATGTCTTTTTTATATATTTGTTTGCATATTTGTAAAATATCAGTTATATGAGGCAAGCAATCAATACAAGCATCTCTCTTTGAAGGCTACTCGACATGCAGAAATGGTGGCCATCGATCAGGTCCTAGACTGGTGTCGTGAAAATGACCTGCGACCTTCTGCAGTCTTCGAGCACACTGTGTTGTATGTCACCGTGGAGCCATGCATCATGTGTGCAGCGGCTCTCCGCCTGATGAGTATCCTTTGGCCGTGTAAATTCAAGCCTTGTTCTTTTCCTGTGAATAAGAAACTGGCCCGATACAGACCTTTTCTTTTTTTTCCCTTTCTTGCCCATGATACTGAATCCAGGGCCTTGCCACACACTAAGCACACTCGCCACCACTGAACTGCACCCAGCAGTTTTCTAATATATGGAGACACAAACTTAGAAGTCATATTATAAAATATATCTTGACCAAAAAAGGAAAGATTTTACACAATAAAATTGCCATTTCTTTTTATGTCAATAAACTTAGAATTGTTAAATAAGCTAGGAAAAGAAAATCTTCAAGCTAACTTAAACTGATATATAAGAACAAATCATAAGTTAAATAAAGTAGATTACTTTAAAGAGAAGTTCTGAAAAATATGGACCTAAATTTTGCCTTTGGATGATGGGTTATAGGTGATTTAAAATTTTCTGTTTACCTATTTTTGTTTTTGCTATGAATAGCTATCACAAAGTGTTAAAACTGTAAGTCAAAAGTAAGTAAGTTAACATCTTTAAAGTATCATAATTGCACATAAATGGCAAATAAATAAAGTTATATAGTTCTTTGGAGTTGTGTCTTACAAAAAATATGCTAAACATTGGATTTACTCCAAAGAATTTTTGAGAACTCAAAAACTCCGTTCCATACTTGTATTTTAATGTAAATTTAAAACTATATATGTACAAGTAATTTTATCACTTTAACAGTAATGCGGAGGTTTTTTGAATACAACAGAATATATATACTCAAAAAGAGTTGTTGGCAACTTACGACTTTCTCCTCATCCCACCTTTTGGGATGGATTCCTTAGCTTTATTCTGTTTGGTACTGGAGCACAAATTAAATGTTATGTGGGACAGGAACAGGGAATGATGTGTTATTTCTAAAAGGTAAAAATCCTGGATTAGATTCTTCCTCCTGTCTCCCACTCTAAGGATTCTGAAAAGTGATTTAGGAGAGAACAGAGAGCATACTAAAGTGAACATGAAGCAGCTACACACTCAGTTTTCACCGTGTGCAACTGTTAGAGTTTAACTTCTAGATATTTTAATCCTCTTTCTTCTGTGTAACTGGATTGTATGATTTTGAAGACTAATCCCAGACTTGTTTCAAAGAGCGGCTGAGCTTTCTCCAGGATGGCTGTAGCAGCCCTCCTGATTTTGCTACAGTCTGTGAATCCTGCAGGACCTTAATTCCGCCTCATAAATCCCGTTGGTCATCTATGGCTGTCAGAATGAACGATTCGGCGGCTGTGGCTCTGTTCTAGACATTGCTTCTGCTGACTTACCAAACACGGGGAGACCGTTTCAGGTAAAATCATTCGCTTACACTTTCTTTCTGATTGCTTTCACCTCACTCCGGGGTTGTGAATAGTGTGTATCAGTATCCCGAGAAGCTGTCACGTAGTCTTAACGGGATCCTGGACTCCAGATTAAGTTTGAAGGACAACAGGTGAGAGTTTCGGGACGAGTGGTTCCTCTGTTCATTTACAAAATCTCTGCTGAAGGAGAGCTTCTGCCTTCCAACAGCCTCAGCATTGCTTCCTGTCTGCGCTATACCACGCTCGCTGAAGCTTGGCCCGTGTCAGTGTCAGTGACAGTAGATGCTCTGTGGTGATTTTTGTACAAATTCAATAATTTCACAAGATTACCATGTACCTCATTAAGTGTCCAGTGACTGTTGTGATTTTATTTGTTCTTTGCCTTTTGAGTGTTGATCTTTTCCCCTAGCCACAGAATCCACACGTCTTTTATCTCTTAGAAGTTCCACATTGCTTTCACACTTTCCCGTCTTCAGAGTTTTTATGATGAAGAGGATAAGCACTGGGAATCTCTGTGTCTGAGTTTGGTTTAGGATGTACAGTTTTCTACACTGGCTCAATTGTTCTCTCCACACGTTTTATAAAATGTTCTGTCTTGAATTTTTTCTGGATATGAACTTGCCTAGCAAATGCTTTACATTTACGAATAGATGCCTTTGACATCACATCAGGCACAAATCACAGTGGAATGGTAGAGTTAACGATGCAGTTAGCGTGGTGGTGAAATACATCTGCAAAGTGATTGGATTCTCGCAGTCTCTTGTAGGAATCGCTCAAACTTCGTTTACATAACTTTGCAAATGAATTGCTGGATCTATACAGGGCTTACCTTATGAAAATGATCTAAAGAGTTTCTCAGTTTCTGGGCAGAACAAAGATGAGCCCTTAAATGTCAGACACAGGTGGAACATTTCTCTGAAATATCACTGATGTGAGGGCACACACACGGTCCTTTCTCAGACATCTCTCCCAGAGCAGATCTGACTGAGCCAGAACGGCGCTCAGGTGCACTTCATACCCCGCACGTCTCGGGCTCCATGGAAAGTGAATGCCCATGACTTCAAGCCACAGCTCTAGCTTGGAGGCCAAATTATGTTTTTTAAGGGTATTTTATGATTCTAAAGAGATCATATACAGACTTTTAGATTCTGTAGTTTCCCTCTTTCTGTGGGTTCAGGGGTTAGGGAACAAATGGGAGGTGAGATGTTTCTTATTCCAGAATTATAGACTTTTAATGTATAATAAGCAGCATGAAAGTTCCTAGAGGAGACCTATAACCCCATTTTTTATAGCCCTATTGTCAAGATAATTCTTCTTTTATAATGACTGCTTTGCTAAAAATTTTTATTTCATTATGAATGCATGCTTTTTATTAAAACCAATTGTAGCTCTAAAGGGTACATGGAAATATTCTGTCAGTATTTCAGAGCAGTACAGTTTCCTCTCTTCCCTTAACTGGGTGGTTCTCCTCCTGATTGCTTGTCGGTGCTCCGTCTCAGCCCCGGCCAGTGAGTGAGAAGAAAGGCACAGGCACGCCGTGTTTGTGGAGGGCATCCAGGTGTTTCTGCAGAGCAGCCCCAGGGAGAACGTGGCCCTAACTGCACACAGGAGGGGGGCTTCGTGGGTGTGTGCGTGCACAGGGGAGCCGTGGGGGCACCACGGCACACTCACAAGGCCAGAGCACTGCGAAGGGCCTACGGGTGAGCAAGCGAAGGCGCAGTAAGAAGCTATGGGAGGGGAGAGTTCTGAGCAGGTGCGGCTGGGCTGCGGGAGCATGGAGGGTGGAGGTGGGGATGCGACCAGGGTTGGGTCAGTCGGGATCGTTATGAGTCGGTGAGGACGGGGCTGAGGAGGAAATGAGGACGGCCGTGGACTCCTGAGAGAGGCTGGGTGGAAGGAAGGTTATTGTCACCATCGGGAGGTTTGCAAAGGCCTCATATGGTCCTGGTGCGAGCAGACAGATGACGCCCTGGACTGAGCGGGACAGTCTCTGGAAGCTGGCTGGCCCTTTCCTCCCCGTACCTGACATGGAGGACGAGTGTGTCCTTTCATACTCTCCAGGAGGGTGGGTCGTGTCAGTTCCAGACTTGGGGCCCATCTCTCATTCTTTCCTTCACTTAGTGCTCACCCTGCAGCCCCGCCACCCCATCAGCCTGTTCCCCACACACAGCCTCTGCCTCTCCTTCCCTGTACCACACGGCTTCGCCTCTGGAAGTCTTCTCCACGTAATGTTTCTTGTAATCATTCCTTCCTGATGTCGCCATTGCTTACTTTTTCATAGCTTTTTCTGTTCTCTCCACTTGGATTCCAGAGACAATACATTAGATACTTTTTTAAAAAGTCTTATTAGCAAAAATGGACAAACTTTTTTTGTAAAGGGCTGGTCAGTATTTTCGCCTTTGTGAGCGACTTACCGCAGTGTCTTAAGGTCTTTTTTTAATCCCTTTAAAAACATAAAAGCTTCTCTTAGCTCACCCCACCTAGCAGCAGACTGGATTTGCTCCATCAAGTATAGGCTACCAGCCCCCTGCTTTGTTGTGTCAGACACTTACTGGGCCACTGCTAAATATCAGCAGATAAAAATAGGTAGCGTTTATTAGCACCTCTGACGTGCCAGGGGCGTGATCGGTATTATTTCAGTTGGTCCTCACAACATCCCCCTGAGGTAAGTGCTACATTATACATGGGAGGTAGAGAGTTTATGGACCCGGCCAAGATTACAGAGTGGATCACTTCAGTAATAGTTGATTGAGAGTGATGTTTCCCTGAGGCTGAAAATCTGCTCCTTTGGAAATGTACTTTATCCACAGTAATATCCCGAAAGCAATTGACATGCTCTGCAGTCTGTTTACATAATTTTGCATGTATCCACGTGTTTGTAGGGTTCTGCACACATTTTCGTGGGCCTGGTTCATTCTCCTTTTCTCATTCCATCAGTGCATTCCTGGATATCGGGCTGAGGAAGCCGTGGAACTGCTGAAGACCTTCTACAAACAGGAGAATCCGAATGGTCAGTTTCCCTACTGCACGAGGTAGCGGACCTCCCCTAGCACATGCCAGTATGCAGAGAGACCGACGTGAGCCTGCGGCTTCATTTTTCTTTCTTTCTTTTTTCTTGCCACAGCACCAAAATCAAAAGTTCGGAAAAAGGAATGTCAGAAACCTTGAACTTGTCTGATGAAAGACCAATGTCTCCAGTGACCCGGACGAAATTCCTGGACTGAGCACTGTTGACATGGATGAATCATGTGTTTATATGTTGTTACTCTGTGGGTAAATGGTGTCTCTCATCATTTGCTCTGTTAAGGGAACAAATTAGCACTTCTTAAAAGTCTGACAATTGTAAACAACTATTAGCTTTTCCCCAGGCTGAAAGCACATTTTCAGAAGGGGAAAAAGTAAGGTTTGAGGTTTCAGAAATGAGAAACAGTGCGTGTCCTTCAGCCACAGCTGCGTGCTGGGTCCAGGCAAGTGCTGGCCTCTGGGGAAGGGGCGTCCAGATCCTTTACCTCCGCGCGTCTGGACAGAGTGCGCAGGCGCCGCAGCCCTCGTTCCCTCGGGCACTGGGGCCTGGCTGCTTCTGAGTTTTATATGAGTTGTATACATAGGACCATGATTACATGGTCCTTCGCGCAGATCTTTTGCTTTGATAAAGCATTTAAGAAAGTGAATACTTTTAAAACAAGAGCTTATGGGTCATTTTAAAATTGTAGCACATTGCTATAATAAGGCCCTTATTAAGCCTTCTTTGAAGAGGAACAGTTTTAAAAAGACAAAAGCCTACACGGGACAATTCCTTGTTACTGAGCAGTTATTTTGTGTTAGGGGCCCTCTGTTCCCTGGAACGAAGTAGAGAATACTGTGTGTCCTCACGGAGTTTGTCTCCCAACCACGGGGCACAGATGATGAATACAGTGGATTGCACAGCTTGCTGGGAAGTGCTACGAGTTGTATTAAAAAGAAAGGTCGGAGTGAAGGAGGTGGTGCCGGTTGGTGGTAGGAATGCTCCTTGGTGGAATAAAACGATCGGTTTGATCCGAAATCAAGTATTTATATAAAAATACAGACAATGAACTTTTCATTTAATATCTAAAATTTGAAACCGTGAGTGCAACATGGAAAATTATCCACAGCCGAGGCTTCTGACACAGCCGCGCTGTTTCCAGCAAGGGGTCACCGGTGCAGAGGGCTGCGGCAGAGCTGCACTGTGCACTTCTGCCCAGAAGGGGGCCTCGCTGTTCCACCGGAAGCTCAGGGCCAGCCCTGGCGGGCAGAGAAAGCCTTTGCTCAGTTCCTTCAGTGGGTTCGTTTCCTTGATGCAGAGCATCTGTATTTGTTGATTTTGCCATTTGAGCGATGTCTCTGACTTGTTTGTTTTGAATTACAGTACAGGCTGGAATGTGATTATGGTGGAAGTATTTTTATATCACTGAGAGTAGCAGCTAATCACAGTTACATGGTTCAGAGGATTTATAATTGCTAGGTTTTGTAAGCGTGTGTTTTTAACTGCATTTGCAGAGTTTTATGGAGAACAATATGCATGATTTTAAATCTACAATAATGTTGCACGCACCTTCTCTCCAGTTTTTCCTATTTTAAAAAATTGTCTTCTCATTAAATTTTAGTGCCTTGATTAGTTCGTTCCTCCTTGCAGTTGGCTGTAACTCACTCTGGATCCTTCTTGCATTTCTGCAAGCTGGCTGCCCTGCATTTATTGTCTTCATATCACTTTGCTGGGGATCCTCTGGAGGGCAAACAACTTGGTCCTCTAGAGAGCGTACTCAGTAAGTCCGGCCAGAGGGTTCTTGGTAAATATGTCAGATAAAATCACTGATTGAAATTTAGGAAAAAATGAATAAAGAGACTTAAGATAAAGTGACAAAACCAAAGTAGTGTATAAGTATTTCATCTCAGAGACAATCACTACTAAAAGAATCAAAACAAAAACAGAAGGACAGACGAGACCTTGCATAACACACACACACACACACACACACACACACACACACACCCCTTTGCTGTATTTTGGAGAATGAGGGAGGAGTGCTTCCTGACCCCTGAGTATGGCTGAACAGTTTAATCTCCATTTAGCACATTTTAAATCTCTTCAATATGTGAAAAGTCTATAGTAAAATTTCAGAAAAGTCTATAGTAAAATTGTGGACATAAGCATAGTTCCTTCGTCTCTTTGGTGGTGGGAGAATCTGTTTAGATCGTTTAGTTGCAGGTTAGAGGTGGATATGTCCATTGCACGGCCCTTGTGGGACATTAAGAGACATTAAGTCTGCAGAATTTGGGCAACAATTTCCACGGGAATTGTGTATCTGAGATGTGGTGATCTAGCCTCAACCTTTACAGCTTGGAATATTGAGATATCCAGCTCAAAATCTTGCTTTCAGTTAATTGACAATGGTAGTGCTTTGCTTAGAATCCAGTTAAGGGTCTTGCTCTGTGTATGAGACAGTTCTGAAAGTCGTGGGATACAAAGTTTTAAAGTCACTGCCATGTTAAGAGAAATTTAGGGAGAAACGATTATATCTGGCTGCCAAGTAGTCGGTGTTTACAGCGTTTACTGGTTTTTGCAACAAACCTCGCTGAGAATGAGAGGTATATCAACTGGCAGGCTTCAACACTGATAAAGGATCATGTTAAAATATCTGTACTTTTGTTATTTGGCACAAGCCCCTCATGTTGTGTATTTGGAATATCATGGAGAGAAAATAGCCAAGAACTCCAATGTAGGCAAAATCTGCTGATTTTTCTTAAAACTTTTCACTTGGAAAGTTGCAACCATCATGGTTCTTTACCCTGAAGAATGTTGGCATTTGATAAGCATGGGATTGTCTCTTATATAATCCTTGTTTAGTTGTATAATTAATGATTTCAGTAAGTCTTATATAGGTATACTTAGTCTATTTCATCCTAGAGTTAGGTGTCACACTGAGTTAACTTTCCACTTTTTTTTCCCCGTAAGTTACTTTTAATCAAGATTTCCACAGCCTTTTGTTGTCTTCTATTTTATTACATTATTTTATCTTACCTTTGTTTGTCTTGCAGTGCTGGGGTTTGCACCCAGGGCCTCAGCCATACTAATCACGTGCTGTGTTGCTGAAGTACCACACCGGCTACCACACTGACATTTTTTAGTGACAGTCATTGTACCTCGGCTGCCTTCATTGCTTTTTTGTTCCTTCTGTGTCATCATGGTCTTCTAAAGAAAATCTATTCTTGGTTTTAAACTTGGTGTTTCCTCATCAGCGCAGTCAGACCGTGTGTGCTAGGTAACATTATGCTCCTCTGAGGGTGTCGCATCTGGAGGCACACAGAGGCCATCTGACCGCACAGGCCACCTGGCACCTGGCCGCCTGGTCACGATGTCAGGTTGAGGCACTGTATAGTTTTTTTTTCTTCATTGTAATAAATAGTCTGTGGCGAAAGGAACTATTCATTTTTGTCGCATTTCTTAAAAGAAAATGTATTTGACACTGATGAAAAGGAGGGAAGGGAAATTAATGGTACAAATTTAAAAAGTCATTTTCTACCTTTTGCCATGCCAAAATTCACAACATTCTTTTTCTAACAAGAATGTTTTAAAAGAGCACTGTCTTAATCAAAATTCCAATAAGTTCTTTCTTGTCTTTATCCTCAGCAAAAGTAATTATTATAAATCTCATTATAACTGGAAGGATTTCAAAAAAATAGATCAAAGATACATCTGAAATTGCAGATGACCCACGGTGATCCAATAGGATACAGAACTTTGGCCATAAAATGTAAGTTTTCTTGGGTTTCCACAGACTTAATATATTTTATGCAGTGCTACTTGAGTATCAGTAAAAATAGCAAAAGCAAGGCTCTTTTTTTTAATCATTATTTTGTAAAGTAGCATGGGTTTCCGGTTTAAAATCCCTGGGGAAGCCAGAGCTTGCCCATCCTAGTCATTCGGCATGGACTGGCCTCGAGTAGCCTGAGGGAAAAGAAGCCTCAGCAATTGGTTTCCCTGCCTTTTGGCAGAGGATTGAGACTGCGTTGACTTCATCTATGAAGACACCCGCCAGCTATTTCCTCACTTCATAAATTGCTGATTGTGTGCAGTGAGGAAGGAGTGATGGGCGACGTTATTTTTATGGGTAACCCTGGCATAAGTTGCAGTGAGAGTTTGACATCTTTAGGATCCTGGGCTTTTTCAAGCTTAGTGAACAAAAGCGGGCCCATGTGAGTAATTCTCACCCAATACTGAAGTGGATTTTTACCAGACTAAACACCGTGCGTCTGTGAGGAGTAAGGAGGCTGCCTCTGGTGTAGTGGGGGGACGCTCTCTCCCAGACCTGACGTCAGCCAGGCTCAGGAGCCTCCAGCCCCAGCCTGCACCTCGCCCTGCACCTTCCTGGGCCTGCGAAGCCCAGGCTCTCGGGACTTCTGCTGCCCTGCATCGTCAGTATGGCACTGGGTTTCTCTGCCTCCACTGTGTGGGTCCTGGGCCTGCTGCCTTCAGCCAGAATCCTCAGTCAACTGAGCAAGTGCTTGCCTACCCTGATGTCTCCTCTTTCCACCCCTGGCTGCTCATCCTGCTTATCAACTGGTTATAGATCCCCTCTTAGTTCTGTATTCCAGGACAAGCCCAGTCTCTCTCCCCAAAATAGTCTTCCTTAAGTTTCTGTGACAAGTGTCACAGAATTTTTTCCCTCACATGAAAGCATGAACCTGAGAACCTAGAGCAGCGTTGGCCAAACCCAGCCTGATGATTTTCTTTTTATGCCACTCGGGAGTTAAACATGTTTTGCATTTCAAAATAGGTGGGGAAAAAAATAGTTAGTGACCCAGGATCCCTAGACGAAAATAAAATTTCAGCGTCCATAAATAAAATCATACAGAATTCAGCTTGCTGCTCGCACATTGCCTGTGGCTGCCTGGGTACTGCAGAGGCCGGGTAGCAGTACCAGCCGTGCAGCTCAGAAGCTAAACAGCAGCATGTCTGGCCCTTCCGAAAACTTGGGTGCCCTCTGGCCTGAAGAAGGTGAAACGATGGGTCGGCTCTCTAAGGAGCTCTTTGCATCACGTAACTGTGCAGTTGGGCTTCAATGCCACGAGTTTTAAAAAGTTGGTTGGTAAATATGGAGGAGAGATTCAAGACAGACATTCTGGCTGGGGATATTTTAGACACATTTTTTTTTTGTCTTTTTCATTTTTATCAGTACCAGGGATCGAACTCAGACCGCCTGCTTGCAAGGCAGGTGCTTATGCTGCTGAGCTAAATCCCCAGCCCCTTTAGACACATTTTAAAAGCATGGCAAGGAGAAAAAGGAACTTGCCATTTTGTTTTGCTTTAGAATAAATGATACAGTTATTAAAAGCATCATCAACTACTTGTCATCATACAATTCCTATCACATATATATTAGACTCCCTTAACCAGAATGGAAGTGGAAATCTCCATCCCATTTTTCTCCTTCAGTTTTCCCTGCCGCAGGTTTGGTCACCTGCAATGCTAGCATCACTGGGATTAGAAAGACAGAAAGAAAACACCTACTAGGCATTTAACTTTTTTTTACCTCTGGCACCGAGTTCAGGGCACAGCTTTAATATGCAGGATACACAGATACCATAAGTAAACTCTAAATTGCATGGTACGAAATGGGACTTGGAAGGTTGGTGAGCAGGAAGCCACCGCACACACAGATCAGAGCAGTGGGAAGGAGGTGATGCGAAGACAGGCAAGGGGTGCCGGGGCCCAGCTGTAGTGAACACCCCTGTTCCTTTCAGAGGAGGATGGGTCTTCATGTTCGATTGTGGCTTGGTGGAGCACAGACAGGGACGTAGCTCCCGACTCCCCAGCCCCTGAGGTAGGGAGGCCGGGATTCCACGTCACCAGGCAAGGTTTGAGCCACGGAAAAGGAGAACGTCAGTGATAGTAACATTTACCGAGAACTTACTATGTGCCAAGCCCTACGCGTGTGTTCCTCGTTAATTCTCATAACTACCCTATGAGTAAGAGCTCTTATCTTCCTTTTCTATCAAGGAAACTGAGACAGGGAGATTAACTTTCTTGCCCAGAGTCACAGGGTTGTGTTAGGATGGATTAGCTTATGCTGTTATAACAGTTCTCAAGTTTTAGTGACTTTGACCAAAGGTTTATTCCTCTCATCATTTATCCCTAGTTCGTCTCAGGTCAAGCAAGAGACTTGGGCTAAAGGAACTGCTACCTGGAACTTCAGTTCCTGCTAGAAAAGGATAAGGCAAATAATGCTGTACTTCTGAGGCCAGGACTTCATAAAGTTGGATGTGTGTAGGAAGCTTCTGGGGAAGCTGATTAAAGAGGAGTTCAAAGTCAGGAGGTTTAGGAGGGCCTGAGATGCTGGGTCTGTCAGCCTCTCCAGGGGCCTGTTCTGTGGCTGAAGGGTGACACTTGCAGTGAGGAGTGCCTCCTGGCATTCGCCTAGAGTTGATACAGGGTTTTTGATCACATAAGATTGAAAGCAAGTCACATGGCTGTGCCCACCAGCAAGGTGGCAGGTCTTCTGGTCTACCGTCTCCATCAGGAGTTGAACTGGAACCTCTGTGAGCATTTCTAGTGAAGAGCAAATTTATGGCTTTCTTGTTTTGGAGAAGTGCCAGATTGAAGTGAGCACTGAGGGAATTGTGCGTGATGGTGGGAGTGCCTGGGGTGGGGGCGTGTGTGTCCACTCATGCACCCATGCCTCAGGTCCATTTGCTATAAGGTGCTGGAGTTGCTGGCATGGAAGAGCACTGGCCTGTATTTGGGGTGACATGCTTATTCCCTGGATGTTGGTGCAGGTGTGGGTCTGCAGCCTGTCCCCCTAATTAGGAACTTCTGTCATGGGAATACTTGACTGAACCTGAGAGAGCTATGTGGTGGATCTCAGATCTATGCTAGAGTCTTCAAATAGAGAAAGGAAGACTTGGTTCCTCTCCATGGGGTACTGAAAGACTGTCACCTCCTTTAGCCTTCCAGTGCTCATAAAATGCCCTGTCCCTGTCCTGCTGCTATCTACTGTTAATTCCCAAGCTGGAGATAGAGGGATCATTCAGAAAAGTTAGACTAAAACCAGGCATGATGGTACAATTCTAGGAGGCTGAGGCAGAAGGATAGAAAAATCAGGCCCAGCCTGGGTAACTTAAAAGGTGAAAGGTCTTGGGATGTACTCATTGTAAAGGCCCTAGGTTTAGTCCACAGTACAGGAGGGAAAAAAGGCCCAATTAAGGCCTCTATCTTCCTTATGGAAAATCTGACCACAAATGGCACGTGGAATGAAACGAAATTGTTCTTTCATTATTAAAAACAAAAAATCCTTCTCAAAGAAAGCAGTATATTTCAGTTTTACATAATAATTAGCTTGAAATAAGATTTCATAATTAACCACTGCACTACATGAGTCACGCATCTGTTTAGCTAAACGTACAAGAGAAGCATGTAGCTAAATGCAAAGCTTTGTTTTTCTTTTGGAAAAGAAAAGTTTGCCATGTGGGAAAATGCTTTTCCTTCTGTCTGCTCTTCTGCCACTAATGAGTGGAAGAGCTGGTCGGGTTTTGATCATTTCTCCACAGACACTTTTACCCTGCAGTAGAGGTGGTTTTAGTTAAAGTATGCAGATTAATGTAAAGGTAATAACTAAGGGAAGAGAACTGAGCAGGTATTGCTATTTCTGTTACTTACACAGGTCGAAACCTCCAGTATGACTTTTGTAAATGAATAAAACAGATAACTTCTGCCTCTTGATCATTCTAATCCTGGGGGGCATTGCCGGTTCTCTGTCAGCTGCTCTGGCATTTTGGAAGGAGACCTGTCACCCCACCAGTATTCCTGACTCCAGGGGAAAATGCTGTCAGCTTTCCATCCCGCCTGAGCTGTCACTGGGAGAAAGCCTTTCCTTCTACCATAGGTCAATAGTGAGGGTCTAAATAATGATGCCTCCTTCCTATGTCAGCAATGCAAACAGCAGGATTCAAATGCTAAACAAGTTCAGGAAAGATTGACTTTCCTCTTCTCCTGAGAGGAATCCCTGTCCTTAGTGATGCGCGGCTCTGGCAGGATGCCAAGGGAAACCCACCATCCTTTCTTTTCGGTCCCCATGCAGGTATCCCTATGCACTGGTGTTCTTTATCCTAATCCCATTTATCAACAGCAGAAACCTCACACATGGTTTTGCTCCTCCCTGCAAATTCCTACAATCTCTCTGAGAGCCTGCAGTGATCACTGGCTTCAAACTCCTACTTAGTGTCACATAGTTTAATACACAATGGGTTTCTGATGACAGTAATTAGATTGTAAGCTCCTCAAAAGCAAGGATTTAGCCCGATACTAGCCCAGAGGCAGTTCCGGGTGAACACTTGCTGAGTGATGGGTTTGTAATCCTGGATGGTTTCCAGTCAGCAGGACAAATGGGTGAATTAGCACTACCGAGCAGGCTCTCTGTCCCCAGCGACCCTTTTGTGAAGGGCTGCCACCGTTTTCCTCCAGCTCATGTCTCCTCACTGGAAATCTACATTGTGAACTTGAGTTTATGATCTCCCATTTTGAGGCCTCAGAAGTAAGGACAGCAAGCGAGATGCTAGTTTATATCTGCTTTGCCAGAAGCTAACTTTCCTGTGGAGGCATAAAAAATAGAAGAGAGGACGCACTGCATATTTAACAGCAAGTAAAGCACAGTGTGGAGATTTATATAACTCTTTTGCTAGATTAGTGCAGAAGCTGGATTAATATTTTAATCATATTCTCTTGAGAGGAAAAAGCAGCTGGTGAAATTTTTGGAGGTGACATGCCAATCTACATAGAAACCAAGTGTGGTTTGGAGACCACCATGGAAATAATAACTTCAGTCATTAAGTGGAGAATGAAAGGAAGAAAGAAACCAGATAAGTTTTCCAGGATCAAGAAGTTATTTTTATTATAAACTAACCTTAGGTAGACCATAGGCTTTATTATTATTTTAACATTTAAATTCAAATACCATTGGCATTATCTCTGCATGGCAATTACTTTTGGCAGCAGCCAAGTTAATACAGCAGAACGTCCTTCATCTTTGTTTTTAAGTTGTTGCTTTAATGCTGTGATTAATCTCAATAGCTGTAAGCAAAGCACAGCTAGAACCCACGGTGCAATTCGAGTTTTGATGCAGGCTTTCTCTGTCTTGTAAACTTGAGTCTCTAACAGGCAGCGCGAAGCCACTGCTGTCCCTCACTGGAAGGAGAGGGACATTTTCTTTGTGCCTCTGCAGACCAGATAACATCAGCTCTCTAGGATGGCGTGGCCCTTGCCCTAGCAGTGAGCCATCTGAAGTACAGTGTGGGTGGGGACTGGTCAAGTGTTATCCTTTGCTGGGGAACCATCATTAGATGGAAACCCATGTTCATATTATTAACTGGAAATCTGTGCTTCTGAATTTCGTGTGACTAAGCCTGGTTGCTGTGATATGCTCAAATGTTCTGTTGACTTTTAGATATTTTAGAAAAGAGGGAAATGAAAGTCTCAGAGTTGAAAAAAAAAAACAGTCGATGGAGGTACTAAGACTCGGCTCCAATTATGTTGGCAGACAGCCCCGTGGTGCAGCTGCTAAAGAAGGATCCCAGATTCTACTGAAATCCCCCCAGTACCTTCTCTTAGACCTGTAATGGAGCCAGCAATACTGTAGGGAAGAACTTTGGACTGAGGTTTCTTTGTGGGAGCAACAGATTGAACTGATAATGAGAGAACGTTCATATGGTTAGCTTTTATAAGGTGGCAGTAATTTCAGGAATTTTATAGCACTGGCATAGGATTTGGGCCTTCGTTTCATCTGGTGCTCAGTGTCCACCCTACGTGGTTGGGTAGCAGCGGCAGAGCAGGGTGAAGAACAAATGGGGCTGAGCATGGCTCTGATGGTAAAGTAATTCAGTCCTGACTGTTGAAGCTTCTGAAGGTAGAAACACGGAGACATTTACGAAGGCCATGAATGGCTGTTGTCTCTTTGACTCAGTGGAGAACGTAGAGAAAAAGAGGGAAGACATTCCATGAAGGAGAAAGTGACAATTTAGGCCTCTCACCCGATCTCCTTTCCCGAGGACAGCTACACTCAGAGTAGACCATGGTTCTGGTTGTCAGTTTTCCTAATTATCAGTGAATAATAAGAGAAGTAGGCCAATAGGAAGGACGCTGATGTCTAAAGGAGCTCTCGGCTGGGTTGGTGAAGTTCGTTTGATGAGTCTGTGTGCTCTCAGAGAGGAGCACAGTAGAAGGTTGGGAATCACTGTGAGCCCTCTTTTTTCCCAAGAGGTCGGATGGGATGACGTGGAAGCCTGGAGAAGCAGCATTCTGGGCATTTGTCCAAACTCTGCCGACCTCCTTTTCTGTTTCATGGTGTGTCTGTTCCTCACGTTGGAGTGTGAAAGCTGAGATTTTTTCTTTTCTTTTTTTTTTTTTTTTTTTGATCCGTGTAAGTATCACGGCTCTAGGTAGTTTGATACTAGCAACCTTTTGAATCAAGGCATTTCGGATTCACCTAAAATAGACGGTGGTGCCATCATACATTTTAACCTAGCTAGAAATGGAGTTGAGAGAACACAGACTCATCTGTTAGAGTATCTAGTAATAGCAACTATTTATTGACTGTTTATTGTGTGCCAGGCGTAGCTCTAAGTGCTTTGCAGCTGTAATTTTATATGATCCTTGCAGCAAAAGTAGGAGGTTACTGTTTTTATTTCCACTTAACGAAAGAGGTAATAGAGGTTTGTAAAGTTTAACTTGCTGAAGATCAGAGAGGTGCAGAACTAGAATTTAAATTTTAGAACTCCCATGTTTTATCCTTCAAACTATACTACTTCATGATTACCCAAATAGGAAAAGAACAAAGAGGATGGTTATGAACGCTGTTCCCTACCCAACGCCTTCACCAGAACAAAACTCTGTTAACTTGGGCTTATTTATGAGGCCAAACTTTAGCTTCTCTCAGAAGACTGTGATTTTGAATGTGCACGCACACGTGTGTATATGTGTATGCACATATTTTATTGATATTCTTAAAAAATCTTAAAACACATTTTCTAGAGGAAAGTCTAGAAAATAGCCTCATGTCTATTTGACTGATGAGAACAGATCTTGGCATATGTATACGCTTGAAATATATAATTGGACCATCATGTCCTTTCCAAAACCTGGAAGTAAAATTACACAATTTCCTAAAACTTGTCAGTGACATAGGTCTGGTGAATTTCCAGTACTTTTGCGTATTCTGTGTTTATTTCTCCAAAAAAATAGCCTATGTTGGTAATGTTATCTTGGGTATTTATGCCGTTATTTACATATATTTTCCTATTTAAATTGGTATGTATAGGATACACATTACCATCATGTATCAATTGCCTATTGTGTAACAAAAATCTACTAAAACTCTAGTGGAATACAAAAATTACTTCTTTCTCACACATCTGGCATAATGGATGTCTTTGTTATTTTCCCATTGCTGGAACAAAATACCTAAAGGAGAAGTTTGTTTCCACCCAGAGGTTCAGCCCATGCTCAGCTGGCTCCAAAGCAGAGATTGCGGAAGGGCACGGGCAGAGGACATCTGCTCAACCTGAGGCTACCAGGAAGCAGGGAGAAAAGAGAGGAGAGACAAGACTGCTCTCTTCCGCATCCTGCTCCCAGTGACCCACCTCCAACTATACATTCCCACATCACATTCAGCTGCTGAATCCGCGATCCAATCACCTTCCACACACACATGAGACTTTTGGGGGCATTTTGGATCTAAACCATAACAGTGGCTCTCCAGATCTGCTTGTCTTGGCTTGGCTGGATTATGACACGAAGAGCCCAGCTTCTCGCTGTGGTTAGGAGAATGGGGCAAATCAACTCCTTGGTATCCTTCTCATCCTTGCATAAGCTGGGCTGGTTAGGATCTGTGGGGAACTGCAGAGCTACAAGTCCTCAAAAAACCTAATTAAATCTATTTCAACTTTTGCTTGCAACATGCCTGTTAATATCTCATTGGCCAAAAAAGCCATGTGGCTACAGGAATGGATACGGAGGATGGTGGATGATTAATTGGCTCCAATTTGCAGTCTACGAAATATTCTTACTTTTCAGATAGACAGATGGCCACATAGTTAAGTGGCCTACGGTCACATAAATATTAAGTGACAGAGCTGGAATTTGAACCTGACTTGGTTTTTCTTCAAAACTGAGACTCTTAATGATGTGCTGTAATTGCAAGATTAGAAACTAGCATAGCATGCCTCTGACTCCTTTCCAAATAGGAACAATCTTTTAGTTTTATGCATCTTCACCAAAGAAGACAAATTACAGCTGTTGATATTAGGTAATGTGAATGCTGGCAGAAGTAATTAATGTTAGCAAATTCTCCAAAATAGTGCTAGATATTATGATCAAAAAAATGCATAGACTTTTAAGTCACTGCCTGACTTACTTTTGCTTTCTGCATTCTTCAGATCTCTCTCACGTGTCATGGTTTAGAAGTGAAATGAATATATAAAACACTCACAATGCCCTTCATCCATCTCCCCGTCAAACCATCCCTGTAATTTCTCAATCTGCTTATATTAGCAGTATGTATAAATGAAAATGACACCTCACATAAGTTGCTTTGTAAATGATAGTAGTGTCTTTAAGACTGTCTAGAAAGCTTTACAATTTAACAATGTACCAAAGTGTCTTCTAAACTGACAGAAATTCCAGTCTTTGTATCAAATGCCCTTCCAATACCTGCCCTAGTCTAGTTTTGCTTTTTAACTTGCTACTATTACTCTTTTTATTAAGTCAGTTACATGGCATATGTTTTGAAGGAAATTGAAAAGCTTTATATACTTCTGTTGACCCAAGAAGCAAAAGGTTGAGCACAGACACACTGCTGGCCAGTGTGTTCCTAAAAAAAATCAGCAGTGTGCTCTTTGGTTCTATCCTGGACCACTGACAACATGAGAGAGAAAATTTTCTACTTCTTGGGATTTGATTTTTTTTTTATAGAGCAGTGAGGGCCACTGAGGGTCCATCAGAATGTCACGTGAGGGTCCTTTGGGAACATTGGATGAGAGAGGTGTTGGGGTTCACCTTTGAAATGCAAGGTTCAGGTGACAACTCTGAAGAAGGGGGGACTTTGAAAAGAAATGATAATTTATACAAGAAGGGACATGCCTCTAGAATGAGATGGAAAGCTAAGGCTGGTAAATTTCAATGAACAAAATGACAGGAGTGGATTGGGACGCCTAATTCCAATTACTTGTGACTGTGGCATTTGGGGAGCTTGTGTATGCGCTCCGTCTCTTCACCTAGCTCCCCACATTACATGGCTCTGGTGTGCTCTCCCACAGGACTATTACATTCCATGAAAGCAGGGGCTGTGTGTGTTTTGCCTGGTGTCGCCATCATAGGGTAGTCCAGTGCCTTGTATTTGTCATTTGCTGACTAAATAATTATTGACCAAACACATATCAGAAATCAAGTAATACTTCTGGCATTTTCCTCTTTGCAAAAACCCAGAAACTGGGGCTGGGGATTTAGCTCAGTGGCATAAGCGCCTGCCTTGTAAGCAGGCAGTCGTGAGTTCGATCCCCGGTACCGATAAAAAGGAAAAAGACAAAAAAAAAAAAAAAAACAAAACCTCAGAAACTACCTTTATCTTCTGCAACAAGAGAATAATTCATGAGTTGAATATAATGCAGCAATTAAATAAAATATAATTTCAGTGCTTAATTGTGTCCCAAAGGAAAAGCTTTTCATTATTGTGGAAAAGGAAGGGAGAAACATCACAGTAAATTAAAGAACCTGTCTTCTCATCGGCACTCTGGTTTTGATGTTAGTCACATAACCCAAAGCAGCTTCCCTATGTATGCAACAGGAAGAATAAATGATGAGTTGTAAATGGAAATACTTCAGAAATCAAAGTGTCAGATAAGGCCAGGTACAATCATTAAGTAAAGATACAAGTTAAATGGGAAAGGAGTTCTTCCAGATAACTACAGAAAAGTGTACTGGAGTCAGGGAAGACAGCAGATCTTTTTCATCTTATACACAACTCTGGGGACTAACGTAGTACAAGGTCAGTAGTTGTTCTTGGGGATAAATAAATGATAATCAACTACACCGTACAATCACAAAGACAATCGGAGATAATTATTCTGGTCTCTGTGTTTTATAGATGACTATTTTCATATGCACCTATTGTCACACAGTTATCGGAATTACATAAAATAAATAGCTGAGTTGCTCAAGAACTTTTTAACAGAAACAATAGCGAAAGCAGTGCTACATGCTGATTCAGTAAACATTTATAGCCCGATTACAATGTACATAATAGGGTCACTGCAATTCTTGCACTTAAAATTTCCCATCTTTTGGCTCACAAGACATAATTAGTCCCTCTTTCCTCAAATGGAACAGTAAGAATAAGCAATAATAGCTACTGTAGGCAATAGGAGAGTCTCAGTTCAGTGTTTTAGAGTATATAGAGGACAGACATTGACTTTGGCCAACTTCAAGAGGAAAACACACGGCTCACAGAAACTAAGGGCACACACACGGGAGAGCCAAGCACAGGGGACTGTGGCTGCCAGGGTCGAGGGCATGCGACTAGTCGTGTTCACCAGCCTCTGCAGTCAGGATGGCCTAGCTGTGTCCATCCTTCTTCAGCACTCCATCCCAGATTGCTAGTCCTGGGACAGAAAGTCAGGCTGGCTTAGCTAGGGAAGCAGGCTCACGACTTGGCCAAGGAAAAACAGCTCGGGAAGACTGCAAAAAACAAGACTGTGTGGGTCCCCTAAAGGAGCCACAGGGCGCAGCTACGAGACACAGTGGATCCCACTGAGAGTATTCTATGAGTTCCAGGAAGGGCGACTGTGGTAAACTTTCATAGCTGCAAAGGGCTCAGGACGGACATCTATGGTCATAGCGAGACAAATAAAGAAGGGGAGATTTCAGGCAGTGCTACATGAGGAGTGACGACAGAATCGAGTCAGATGTGCCCACTGCAGTAGGAAGCCACAAAGACAGAGAAGGTAATATTAATTATAAGTTATTGGGTTTATTTCAGTATGTAGCAGAAAATGCCCCTCTCCCAACCCCACCCGGTATACTTCAGTTGCCCAGGTGATAGCTCCTACTCCAGTTCCAGTTGCTCCTGTGTCTTAGAAATGGCTGGTCACTATGATACACCAACGTTATATAAACCAATCCCATTTGACAAGCTATTCTGCCTCTGTACTTCCTGCTTGCTTATCCCACATAAGCCCAGGACCACCAGAGATCAGGGCCTGATAATTTGGGAGTGATCCTAATCAGTGCCCTTCATGTAAGGTAAATCTACCTCCAAATCCTGGGTGTTGTTTCCGTGTTTCTGTTTGACGCAGCAAATAGATGAGTGAGGGTAGGTGTCAGATTTCAAAGGATAAAAGGTTTGAACAGGAAACAGCGAGTATCAAGCTAAGTAAATGATATGTATTTAGAAAATGCATAAGGGGGACCTATGTAATTTTTTTAATGAAAATCAAAAAAATAAAGGAAACATTGGAAGCCGCTTCTGGGCATGAGATTGAGAATCCAAGTGAACCATAAATTTTACAAAAGAGGTCAGGTTCCAGTTGTTCAGGGGCAGAACAGAATTGAGGGATTGGTGAATATGACAATATCAACACATGGATTTAGCTGATGTTACTTTAGCTTCGCCAGATCTTAGCAACACGAGGTGGAAATGTCTGCCAGTGAAGAGAGTGTGCTGAGTGAGGCTCAAAAACCAAGGTGCTGTGGAAAATGCTCTGTGGCCAGAGCACATGAGACTCAACATGGGGTCAGTAAAGGAATACAAAACAACGTCTCGCTTAAGTTATGGTTAGCAGGAACTTGAGAAGCTTCTTCAAATGACAGGATGGAAATTCTTTTTGACTAATGTCTAAAAGTTAGGATTTCCAAAACTTTCGATCATATTTTGAAGATAAGAGCATTTGTTCAGGAATTTAGCTTTTTTCCTGGACTGGAAGGACTATTGGAAATATTTGGATGATAGCAAAGTGGCGTATTTTATTTGTGATGCTTTGCACCCCTTCTTTGAAAATGGAATAGTTGCCACAAAGGTCTCTTGATCTTATATCCTTTTCATAAAATAAACATATTACTAGAAACACCAGACATTTCCGTTTGACTTAGCAGTGAAACAGGATCCTGGTTAGCCATACTCACCCTTTTTCTGGACTTGCTCATTATTTATTCTGGAGGCATCTCAGAAATGGATTGCAGGAGAAAGCAGGAACCTGCAAGCACTCTTCAACCTCAAATATTTGATCTAAGCCATCGCATTTAAGTAGTTCACAATCTGCTGAGGAAAAACAGTCTAGGGAATCTAGCTTCTCTTTGCCCCTTCAAAAGAATCAGCATTGTTAAAATTTATTAGAGTTGGAATCTGCCCGTGCCTAAATCACCCAGTAGGAGCTTTTCTCAGTCTGTTTAACAAAAGCATACTGCAAGGGGAACCAAGTGGAATTTGGTTCAAAAGAGGCCTGTGAATCATGTCTTTAAAAGATAATCACCCACTGTTTACTTGTTTTCTAAGTTTAAATTTTTGTGTGTTGTGCTTACTTATAATGAGGTACCTCAAAACCTTAGAATAATCTAGGGGTATCCCCCATCCCTAAAAAGGCCCCTTCAACGCATAGTGTGTAATTACTCACGAGGAGAAAACTAGCCATTGACGTCTCTAATCACAGCGACCACAATAGCAACCACTCTGAATTCTAGAGGCTGAGTTGGTATAAGCTGTTTACAAATATTACTTACTGATTATAGGTAATAATATTGATATAAACATAGATAATCAGTTGCATAAACTAGATAGTATAGTGACCTATTTTACAGGTGGGAAACTGAGGCTCGGAAAGATTAGGTAACTGCCTGGCATCACACAGTTAGTAAGAACCGAGGCCAGAGGGGAACCTACAGCTGCAAAACTCTGAAGCCCAGGCTTTCACGATGCTTCTTTGTTTCCTTACGTAAATGCTTCTGTATGTGACACTCTGTTAGTCTCACCCGGAAGTCTATACTCTTGCTTGCTCTTTGTCTTGATTTTTAAAATTAAAACTTTCAAACTTATTTTCAATTAGTTTTAAGCTTACAAAAATTCTACAAACAATGTTACAGAGAATTCTTGTACACTCAGACTCCCCAAATGTTAACAAGTTACATAACCGCTATAGAATTATCAAAGTCAGGAAATTAACGCTGATACAAGTCTGTTAAATAGTCAACAGACTTTATTCAGATTTCATCACTTTACCCTCCACCGGCCAGGATCTAAACCAGGATGACATCTTGGATGGAGCTGCAGTATCGCCTTGGTCTCCTTCACGGCCAGCTCTGTCCGTGCCTGACCTCCAGAGGGAGGCCTCCTCCAACGCACCGTGGCTTCCCTCTTTGATCGCTCTGGTCCCTTCAGTCTAGCGCAGTTTCTCAGCCTTCGCTGCCTTCCATGGCACTAAAATTCTGGCCAGTTACTTTTGCAGAATGTTCCGCGGTTTGGATGTCTCTTTGTGAATACATCTGGGTTGTGCATTTTGGGGGAAAGTACTGTAGCAGTTTTGTAGTGTTATTCTCAGTGCACTGTACCACAAGGCATCTGATACTGATTTGTCCAATCACTGCTGACTTTAACTTTGATCACTGGATTAGGTGGTAGCTCCCAGAATTCTTCACGGTAAAGTAACTACTTTCCCTTTGCAATTAGTTAAGTTTTTGAAGGGGAGCTATTTTGAGAATATGCAAAGATCTTGTTTGTTACATTTTGCCCGCTAATTTTGTTGTTTATTGATAACTGTTTCCTTAAATAACTATTACTTCAGTATTTGAAAATTGTGACTCCTCCTCTACATCATTATTCTGCGTTATTTGGAATTCTATCATAGGGAAAAGCTTTCTCTTCTTCCCTACTTACTCCTCTGTTCTTTTATTTATTTATTCAGTATGAACACGTGAACTTTATGGATTACAGTCTATGCCTTTATTTGTTTATTTTTTTTTTTAAATTGTCCCATATTGGGCTCAGAGTTATGTTCTAGTGTCAGCTGGCTCCCAGGCAGAAAACGGCATGGGAGAAGCTACCCACATCATGACAGTCACGGCCAGAGAGAGAACAGAGGCGGCAGGAGGGAGACAAACCCTTCTGGTCCACACCCCAGAGAGCAATCTCTTCTGACCAGACCTTGCCTCCTAACAGTGAGTTCACTCTACAGCACTGAGATTCAGTCACCCTCCCAGCCGGGCCTATGAGTGCGTGAGATGTTTGTAGGACATTCTCTATCCCAGCTCTAACAAACCTCATCAGAGACATTCTCAGTTTGGATTCTCTTTCTCATACTTGTGGATTGTCCATCTATTTATCTATCAATCTATCATTCTATGAATCTATTATCTACCTGTCTTTGTGGATACTGGAGGTTGAACCCAGAGCCTTCATACTATTACATCTGCAGCACTTTCACTGTTTTGTTTTGATTGAGTTTTAGTTGCCCAAATGGAGCGCACACTTGCAGCCTCCTGCCTCAGCCTCTCCAGGACTGTCAGTTACACATCACCACGCCAGGCTCTACCTATATATGTTGGGTAAATGTTCACTCCTATAATGTTCACTCTTCTGCCCTCCCAATCCACTCTGTCCTATTCTCATTCCTCCATGATTTCCAGCCCATTTCTTGATACATATCCAGTCCCATTAGTTCTTAGGTTATTTTTCCTCTATTTTTGTACTATTAAACAAATATGTGTATAATTTCTGGTGTTCCTTTTTCTTATACAAAAGATGCCTGTGGTTAATTTTTCCAGTGTTTCTTTCACTTAATAGTGTATCCTAACAAGCATACCATAAGAGTTTATAGAAATCCTTTCATTTTTCACAGCTGCATGGCACTCCACTGACTGGATATGCTATATTTTATTCATCTATTGCTAAAAGAGCATTTTAGCTGTTACCAACCAGCACTGAAATGAGCAAGCCATACATCTGTATTATTGTAGCTTTAGAAAGGCAGCTTCAGAGTGGATTCCTGCCAGTGGGGTGTCTGAGTTGAAAGGCAAATGCATGAATAGTTTTGTTGGTTACCACCAAATTTTTATCTTAAAGGGTTGTGCTAATCTGTTTCCTGCTAGCTTTGCCAAAAGAATGTATTGTCATACTTTAAAATGTTTACTTATCTGATAGGTGAGAAATGCTACAGTTTTAACTTGCATTTTAAAAAATTGTGTGCTGTTTGAATGCTTTCTTTTATGCATAAGTGCCATATATATTTTAAAAAGAACTGTTGGTACATTCTTCTGTTTTTCTGCTGATTTTGATAATGTTCCTCCTTTTGAGAATTATTTAAATATAAGGTTATTAGTTTCTTGTCTGTGGTAGAAGTTACAAACATTTTTTCCTATTATGTCAATTGGCTTTTGACTTTATGTTGCTTTTGCCATAAAACTGTTGTTTTAATTTTATGTAGCCACAGCTATCAATTTTTTCGGGATTTTGAGTTTGCATTCCATAGTGGGAGAGGAATTCATTTATGTTTTCTTCTTGTACTGGTACAATTTAAGTGCTTATGTTTTTGCTCCTTTTGGAATTTAATTTTGTATATGGTAAAAACATAGATTTTATCTTTTTCTAATGGTGACTCAGTACTCCCCATTTTTGCTCCCACAATTTAAACAGCAGCCCCCCCATACACACACACACACACTGTCTTATCCTGAATTTCCCTATGTGCTCGGATCTCCTAGGGGATTTTTATTCTACTCTATTGGTCTGCTTGTCTGGTCCTCTAGTCAGTATCAAATTGTTCTAAATACAGATCCTTGACTGAATGCTTTAGTACCTGGTAGATCTAGTTTCTCTTCACAGATTTTTTTCACTGATTTCTTGGATATACCTTTCTGCTACTAATACTGACAACAACTTGTCTTTGACAGTTCATGTGATTCAGTCATGTGATGCTAAATTGTACTGCAGGGGCTCAGCAGGCATTAACAGTGCACAGTTCAGCACTGAGAGTTCATGCCAGAGACTTTGGCCCTGGAAGATTGAGGACCAAATATCAATAGCCAACATGGTGTGTGTCTTCATTACTTTTTTCTTGTTGCTGGGACAAAATACACAACAACCAAAATTAAGGAAGGAAAGATTTATTTAGCTCACAGTTTGTGGAGGTTTCAGTCCATAATTGGCTGGCTCCAAGGTAGGGTGGCATGGCAGAGAGGCAACAATTCAAGGCAGCAGAAGACAGAAGAATCGAGAAGAAAAGGGGTGGGAAATCAAGCTTTCTTTCCTCTCTTATGTTATAAGCAGGTTACCAGCCACCCAGGGCGGGTGTAGCACTCACATCAACTCCCTGCTCTCTTGCAGGAGCTCAAGATGTTTACAAATGAGTACCCTGACCCCCTGCTGAGCCACTTAGTTAAACTTCTCAAGTTGACACAATGAACAACATCCTAGAATGGTTAGGATAAGTCCTCTACACCCCAGGTTTTTGAACTGCTGAGTTACTTGATTAAGCTTTTGGACTCTGCAACTTGACACAATGTGTCAACCAGAAGTTGTGAGAAAAGTCATAGAGGGAGGAGGCAAAATCAGGGTAGGTTCTATATCCTAGAACTCGTGGGTAGATTGTCTCAGGGTTAAATGAGCAGAGGGATAGGGGGAATCACAGCCCAACCATTCGGTGGCCAAGGGCCAGCATCTTTCGTTTGAGGGCTGACAAGTTCTGAGCCCTGAGGTGAACTGGATCTACCTTTTACATTTGCAAGAGAAAATTTCCCAACCCTCTGCTCCAACAGCCAGTTTTAAGGAGTTTAAATGTATTTATGCCTTATATATTTCTGAAGTAAGGTTTGTTTTATTTTATTCCTGGAAAAAAAAAAGCACTAAGTTTCTTCTTGGAGAGTTCAACAATTTGAAACTCAAAGTTTCAAGTGCATTTTAAACAGCCCCCTTCCCTCCTCTACCCACACATCTATAAAAATAAACAAGGCCACCGACAAACTGCTCTCTGATTTGCATAGCAGCAAGAACTGATGCAAATCCTTGCCTCTGCGGCTATTTCTGCATCTGTGGAGATGGCAAAGGCTTCCTTTCCTTAAAGAGTCTTTTTCGGGCATGTTACCCTAAGCGGGGTACTTTCTAAAGCACTATAGCAATAAAATATTTGAGGGAATAAAATTCTAATGATGAAAGAAAAATTAGGGAATGATGTCAGGTTTGACTTTTGCAATAAGAAAACACCCCAGTCCTGAACGCAAATGAGAACTTACAGCCTGGCTGTTGGCTGTGACTCCTGGCTCCATCCCACCCGGCCCCTTTCAGGCCAGCAGGGGCTCCCCCATCCCACCTCCACACAAAGGCATTCACTGCTCCATCCCCTCTGCCACCTCATACACAAAGAGAGCAGGATCCCATTCCCTTTTGCACCCCTCTCACTCCTGTTCTATATAAAACCATATGAATGCTACATAATGTGTATCAGAATTCAGCATAGCATGTGCTTGAAAACAGGTGCATGATAAACCCTACTTTTCTGCAGAGTAAACCCAGTTTGCCCACATGCTGGATCAGTTCTCATCCCCATGCACCATCTCATCCTGCTCAGCTGCCTGGAGCAGCAGTCAGCCCCGCACTGTGTTCTGGGTCCTGATGACACAGTTACATTAACAAGGATTGATAGTGGTGTGCCAGCCATACAGAGGAAGTGGAGGAATGGGAGAAGGAATTCATACCCACAGATCACTGTGTTTATCTCAGGAAAATTTGCTTTGGTGAGTTATTTCAGTTGACCCTCACAGTTCTTGTTAACTGCACAGTTCCATACTGATTTCTCAAGCAGTCATTAGTGATCAGGATTTTTCCCACCTCTCTCTGACCCAGAGCCCATGCTGAGTCACATGCCTTTTGATTTACTCAATACCTAGAACATAGTAGCCAGTGCATAAAAATCTTGCAATCCTGTGCAGCTCAGTTAGGGACTTTTAAGATTCAAAGCCTGACTCCCCAAAAATTTACCTTTAAATTTTTGGGTACCAGCAAGGATATTCTGTTAGATTACCTCAGTCATGCAGCATGGAAACTGCCTTGTCTGATTAAATTTTCTCTTTTCTGATTTTGTTTCTTCAGTCTTCTGTGCCTTTGGCTGACCTCAAACTTAGAAAACCTCATAACAGAAGCTAACTTCCAAATTTTCTCAAAAGTCAGTTTGTTGCTAAGGACCGAGATTGCATTACCCTAAAATGCCAGCAAAGCATGACCACAAAATACTGTTTGCTGGTCACTAACCCTTTGGTTTTTTTTTTTTTTTTTTTTTTTTTTGAGACAGGTTCTTGCTAAGTTGCCCAAACTGGACTTAAACTTGGGATCCTGCCTTAATCTCCCAAGCAGTAACATTACAGATCTGTGGCACCACACGTGGCATCTTTGGCTTTTGTATTCTGTTCAATGGCCTTTTACAGTTTTCTCAAGAACACAAGTGTTTGGAAAAGTGAATGAAAGAGTTCAGCATTTAGATTATAGAGTCATCTTCCCTTTTCCTGTAAAAACCAATAAACCATGCATTAGTTTGTTTCAGAATTCTGGTTAACTACAAGAACCATTGTGGCCCAGCTCTCAGCTAATGACAAGATTGGTGGAACAATCTGAGTTAGGGGGAGGATGCTCACATATACAGGTTGGTGTGACAGGAACAAAGCAAAAAAATAGCTACAGTACTCAGTAAAGACCGACAATTTCTGTTGAGGATTTTAAATTGTTACTTGCTTTAATTTTTATTTTACTGGGTTATTCATTCTAATAAGAAAAAGGACCAGTTTCTGTTTGTCCAACTATGTAGACTGGAGTGTGGTATCCAAAATAATTGGTTCCATTTAAAATGTTCTGGCTTATTCCAATATCTTACAGATTGCCACCCTGGGCAGCTGGTTTTTCTTGCAGGCGCTACCAATGAGGAAAGGTCCGAAGCATCTTTCTCACCTAAGGGTGTATTCTTTATATCAGAACACACTGCCTCTGTTATGACCCTTGTATGACAGAATGGTGGGACGTCAGTCCTCCTTTTGTATGAGGCAGCTGCAGACTCACAATTGTTAACTAGACTACAGTTTTGAACTGCACCACTTTATGGTGTAGATCTAAAGAATTCTCTCAGTTTCATGTGACTGGAGATGGGGCCTGGCTGGAAGAGGCAGGCACATAGAGCTGTGACCATGAAGGTATATTCCTGTCCCCAGCTTTTCTCTTCTCTTTCAGATTCTTGATTGTCACTGGGGTTGAGAAGCTTCCCTCTGCTGTGACCTTCCATTGTGCCATTTCTGCCTGAGAACTAGCCAGACATACACTAAACCCACTGAAACCATGACCCAAACTAACCCCTTTTCTTTTAAGTTGTGAGTGCAGGGTATTTTGTCCCACAGTTTGGAAATACAGAAAACTAATACAGAAATACAGACTGATACAGAAAACTGCTACAAGAGAAGTGGGGTCATTGCTGAGACCGTACCTAACAACGATTGAGAAGCTTTTGGAAGTGGTCTACTAGGAAGAGTTTGGAAAAGCTTGGAGATGCAGGCTAGAGAATCCCTAGACTGCTGTAAGCAGAGACTGGGTGATTCTTCTCAGGCACAAGAAGGCTAAACTCTTAAGCTTGCCCTTTACTGTCATTCTTATACGAATGAGTTTTCAGTTAGGAACAGGGGTTTTATTGGAAATTGCACTAAAGGCCATGAATATTTTATTCTAATAAATAATTTATCTATGTTTTGTTCATATCCTGTGACTTTGTGCAAGGCAGCTTTAAATGTGGGTGACTAGTTAATCTGGCAGAGGAAATTTCAGGATAGGCCAATGTTCAGGCTGTGGTGTGAATACCACTGATTGCATTTAACCAGGCCCACTTTGAGAATCAGGAACAAAAAGCAGACCTAAATGATTTGAAAAATTTGCATCTTGAACAGAAAGGAAAATTTTAAAGTTGGATCCATGCTCAGAACATGTTGCTGTGGGCTGTTTGTATCATTGAAACTTCTAAAAGTTTCACCATCACTGCTCTAGACCTTTCTCTTAGAAAGAAAATATTCTGTGACATTGTACCTTGGAAGCAGTTAACTTTCTTTTTGATTTTTACAGTGACTTAGAGCTTAGAGTTTGCTTTGAGTTTCAGAGGAAACTTTGGACTCGGACTTTTCAGAAGTGTTGGAACTGGTAAGAATTTGGTGATTCTGAGTGACAGACTAAATCCATTTTGCATAATGAGATGGATCTGAGGCTTTTGGAGGTCAGGGGCAGAATGTTATAGTTTAAATCTAAAACGTTACCCAAAAATCCCATGTGTTCAAAGGTGGGGTTTGGTTGAAAGCGGCAGCTCATTCCAAGCTTGACCTGGAGGGATACACACCTGGCCCAGCTCCTTCCTTCTGTCTTTGGGTCTTGGCTGCCACAGAGTGAGTAATTTCCTTTGCCATGCCCTTCCACCATGCCATTTCTGCACTGGAGCCTGCACTTACAGGAACTGTGAATCAAACTGTGAATCTCAAATTCCTTTAAATTGAGGGTGTCAGGTATTTTATCCTAGCGTTGAAATTTTTTTAAAAAGTCCTTCTTGTAAATAGCTTCCAAAGAATACCTAAGTGTGCTCAGGATTATATATAGCCAATTTTTTTCTGCCTATTTGTAACTTTGTTACAGAGGGAATAACGTTTTCCTCAGGAGAGAATCTTTTCTCTTTTTAAAATAATATTCTTCAGTTTCTGCTGTGTTTTGAATATGTCCCCATCCCCAAATTCACTGTTGGAAAGTTGTCCACATATTCAGTTGTTGATGGATTTGTATGTGAGGCTTTTGCAGATAGTTAGGATTAGATGAGGTCATGAGGGTAGGTCCCCATGATGGCATTTGTGGCTCTGCATGAAGAGGAAGAGAAACCTGATCTACTGTGCTTGCTATTTCTCTTTCTCTGGCATGTTACGATGTGCTAAGAAGCTCCTCACTACATGCAGAGGAAATGCCAGCGCTATGCTCTTGTATGATATGAAAAAAAATGAGGTCTAACCCTTTTATTTTCTCTCTGACAGCCAGAAGGAGGCTTGATCTGACTGACAACCTTCCCTTGTGCTTCCCATTTGTCCCCAAGGATGCTTCAGGGTCACTATCTTCGAAATCCTCTTGCTACTTCTGTGGTTACTTTGGCAGACATCCATAACTACGCTGACCAGAATCCCAGGTAGAAGGACAGCTATGTTGCCTGTCTCTCATCTGGACCATTTCAAGGCTGCATCAGTCTTTGTGAGCAGTGACCAAAAAACTGTGGCCAACAGGGCTAAGGTCAGGGAGAGATCAGGGTCCTTTGCTGATATCCCCCAAATCTCTAAACCTCAATGATTAGTGTAACTGCTCCTCCTGGAAACTCCTCAAAAGTGGGGCAGTCATGATGTTAGTCCCATCATTTTGGGGGATTAGTGGGAGCTGTCAGCCAATTATCCACTTCCCTGAAGTTTGTTAGTGTTTTCACAGTAACAGCCGAGAATGTGCTACATGCCCCATCATCAATGTGCGAGATATGTGCCTGGGCTATAGCGGACTTTAAAAGGCAGATTTTCTGGATGACTCCACCCTGCAGCCACTCCAGACAACTCTGCTTGTAATTTCCAGATGATCTTTTCCCCCTCGCTGCTCTGAAAGTCCTGAAACAGGTCCACAAAATGTGTGAAACGGAACATGCAAGGCTGCTGCTCCTCTTTATAAGCAGGGGGTCCGCATACTCCTCATCCCGGTCCAGAAGGACTGTGCACTGGCCCCCTGTGCTGCAGCACAGTTCCCAGTGAAGCCTCGTTCAGGTGATCTTACAGCTACTCACAATTCCTATCTAGGGTGGCGTGGACAGAGTGCATGTTGCTAAGAAGAGCTGGTAACACTGTTGGCCCTGATGAACACCTGGCAGGTGGAGAAACTGTGAAGAGCCAAGAACAGTACATGCAGGTAGAAATCAGACTCGTGTCCACTGGTGGAGACCTGATAGGACAAGCGCTCAGGAAGAGCTCCACAACACTGCCAAGAGGACTGTGAACCTCTGCTCTTGAGAAGCTGATGGGGTTGGCAAGGAGCTGTCAAGAGCTGCGACTCTCAGGGCTGAGAGCCACTGGCACCCAAGCCTGGAGCTGCTGACATCAAGGTGCGTGCTCTTTGCCAATTCGTGATTTCCATTCCAACTGAGCAAAAGAACCCTCAGCCAATTGGTGACACATGGACTCTAAACTATAAGCTAACTAAGCTTCTGTTTAAAATAAAGTACCCAGTTTCAGGTATTTTGTTGTAATACCACAAATAAACTAATACGGTTTCTGATTTATTTTATAGAGTATTTTAACTTTATTTTCTATTAATACATAATGACTATGTTTACTTTTATTTTGATCCAAGTTAATTTTTATGAGGAGAAACCATAAAATACATTCATAAGGACAGCAGAGAGGGAGAAAGAGAGTGCAAAACTAATATACACACTGACAACAACATTCACATCAATTGCTTAATCTAACCAGTGTGGTCTGGGACGTTGAATATAAAAATAGAATCCCAGTACCAAGCAAAGCACTCTTCAGGAGGAGGAAACTGACAGCAATGTGTATATGGGTGGCCAGGTTTTAGCTGGAAAACAAGAATTTATCTGCTCATTAGGATTTCACTGAGTGCTAGAGACCGAGTCAGGGTTGCCGTGAGAAATACCTCAAAAATGTTCTATCCTTGTTTAGAATTTGCAATGAGGTGAATTTGAAGCTAGGACATTTTTCCAAACTATTAATATTTTTTTTTAGCATAAACTAGGCAGCTATATGGGGATAGATACACAGGGGAGCTGAAGAGAAGATAAATGTGTTGGGGAGCAACTTACCCGGATGGAGCCCCTGGGATCTTACATGGATGTGGGTTTTTGCCCCATCCTTTGAGTGTTTATCGATCCTAACAGTTATCGCCAGGTAATGAATAGCCTTAGCATTCTTGCTGAGATACAGCACCTTCTGTTTCTTCAAAGCATAAAGGACAAAATAAAACTATTATTTCTGGATGTTTAAATCAGGGCAAGCTTTAAAAACCTCAGCTGTCGCCCTGAGCTGTTGACAGAGTTTGTTCCCAGGCAGTGGGGATTTGTGAGTGGCCTGCGTGTCCTTCTTTTGCGTCTGGGTCTTGTCTTTTGTGCTGTGGTTGTCATCTCCTGGCTGGTTGTTACATCTTATTGGGGCTCTGCAGGTCTGGCCTACAGCTTGTGGCCCATAGAGACTTCTCTTGTTAAAATTATTAAACATAAATTAGAGGCATCAGCAAGAGCCCAAAGAATCTTAATGCAATCTTTCATGCAGAGCTCATGAAAAGTATTTTTGTATTATGTGTGTCTTTCTCTTTGCTTCCTGATTTCCCGCTCCACGTTGTGGAGTTTTGTGAAGTGTTTTGGAGAGTATAGTTTAAAACAGATCAAGAATCAGAGCAGTTTGGAGAAAGAGGAGGAATAAAACTATGATGACACTATGACTGTGTTTTACATTTGAAGCCGAGGCTGTGCAGGATTCACAGTAAGAGAGAATCCCCTGTACTGGATTAATGCCAAGGAGATGAACATTAGAACCGTGGCTGTCTTAGGGCTCAGGGGCTATGTAAAAGATCTACTTAGGTGGCTTTGAGTTGGGTGAATTTGGTAAAAGGGTATGTGACTTCCTGTTTTGGTTCTGTTGTGACCTCATTCAACCTATCTGAAGTTACCCATTCGACCTACATTTGTGTTTCTTTTCAGTGTAAGTTGAAAGATTAAAAACAAAATAAGATTATTCTAGCTTGACAGTTTGAAGTGTGTGTGTTTCCATTTACAGTTCTTTAAAATGCAGGACTCACTGTGAATAGCCAAGTGGTGAATACCAGATCTAGCGTCATCCCCAGGACAGACAGCAGGACAAGAGCAGCGGAGCAAATCATGTGGGCCGTGGTCATCCTGACTTGAAGGGTCTGGGCAGGCAGGACAATGGGTCAAAGCCATCTTCCCTGTCTATGACCATCCATTGGACAATGGGATGTGGGGTGATTTCTCTGCAGAGGCCCAGATCTACCCAAATTGCTAATGAGGAATTATTTATAAAATGCTCCTGGCCACGTGGGCTCCGGTTGGCATTTGCTGTGATGCCTGCAACTCCTTCATGCCCTGAAAAGGTTAAGTCTCCCCTGAATGTGCCAACACAATCTACCTTTCATAATTTTGTGCCGCCTTAGACTTCGCCGCGCTGTTGTCTGAGGGGATGGAAATTCTCATTCTGAAATCCTCCAGCAGTTTTTGTTTTCAACAGAAATGCAAAACTCATAAATTTTAACAGGAAGGAGGGCAGAGTGGGAAGACATTTCACATTCAGCATGCAGTCAGCAATGAGTGAGGCACGGTTGGGAGACAAAATCTTGGCCGTGCAATGCTGACTTGCTACCCAAGGGCTGGCATTATTTTCTGAACGCTTGGATAGGAGAGGGGCTCTGAAGGGTGGCTGGTCTGAAATAAAAGTTGAGACTTTCTGCTCTCTCCCCGCTGTGTTTACAGCTTGATCATCAGACATGGTGTCTTAGAAGAGTCATGGAAAGCCCTGTCTGCAGTGTGTAGAAAGCATTGTATTTTAAATTGGTGTTGAGCTGTGTGCAGTGGCTGTATGTAGCCAGTGGGATTTATCTGAAGCATGATTATTGCTGATTAAATTTGGCCTCATTCATGACTAAACATAACCTAAGGAAATAGAATATAAGTACATTATTTGGATAGTCATGGTGCAGTGTATATATCTTAAACAATATATATGCAAAAGGTGTTCAAATTTCTAGTGAGCTCCAAAAGCTCTTACATGGGTCCCAGGTACATCGTTGATTTTAGTCAATTATTACTCATTCATGAATGCTGCAAGTGCCAAGATCTTCTGGGATTATTTATCCACGAGAGTCCAGGTTATGCAGTGGGTTTCCATGTTCAGTGAGAAGCAAATTTCCTGCTTGCTTTTCAATACATAGGACAATAAAGTCCAGCTCCTCACTGGGGGATGCAAGCTTCCACATCTGCTGGCCCCTGCCCACACCCCACCCTCCTTTCCTACCCTTTACCCTCCTGCTCACTCTCCTCCTTAGCTGCACCGGGTCCTTTCTGTTTCTAGAACAGGTTGACCTCACGTAGTGAGGGCATTTACATTTTCTCTTTCCTCTGTCTGTCATGCATGTCTCATTTTGCAAGGTTGGCTGCTGCTTTTCTTTTTGATCTCTGCTCACACATCACACCTCAGAGAGCTCTTTTTTCTTACCTCCACTACTGAATGTTACTCTTTCTGATCTCCATCACTTCATTTCCCTAGTTTTTAATTTTTCTTGAAACATTTATTCCTCTTAGAACTTACGTTTGTTGACTGACTTGTGGTTTGTCCATCTCCCAAGGAGAAGTCCAGTAGGGTAGTAGGGACATGGTCAGTACTGCTCAAGTTCTAAGTCAGCTCCTTTAGAAGAGGGTCTGACACAGGGCTGTGTCTGGGTCCACACGTGTGGACTGGGAGATCATATATGTGCTGGCTGCTAAACCAAGTTTGTCTTGAAAGTCATAAAAATGACAAAAACTACCAAAAAGTCCTACTGAACAACACTCTACTGAGTCATAAATCTGTGCTTCTTGAGGGGATTCTCCTACTGGATTCTGAAGCAACTTTCCCCATGGAATTTTCCACAGCCAACAGCTCGTTTCCACCTGTGTCCTGTTGTCACTTGCCCTGTCCCTTGGCTCGGCCCCTCCGGTGTCCTCTGCAGCAGCCCCCAGGAAGCTTCGCAGAGCGGGCCCCCCCAGCTGTCTCATCCTTTTCTCCAGGGGCCTGGTGTTTGCACACACGCGTGCATCCTGCTATGCAAATGCTCTTCTTCTGACTTCCTCTCCGAGAATACTTCCTTTTGCTCTTGCTGTGTTGACAGGGAAGAAGAAAACAGACAACAGTGTTTCTAACCGTATTTTCAGGTATTTGTGAATAAAAGCTTTTCTATTTTCCTTTTTAAAAATGTTCTTACCCTATCAACTGATGCAAGAATCCACTTGTGTCTTCTATGAAATTTGCTTACTGTCGTCTTCAGAAAGGTGGTTTTTCCCTCATAAAAGCAACATCATAATGTTTAAGATGCCGGGTGAGAGTCTCTCTGTTCAGCGTGGTCCCATCCTCTCCAGAAATGAGAACGTGCAGGGCCATGATCCTTCATGCAATCATTTACTACTGGGAGCCCCGGGGTCAGAAGAAATGTCTGGTCTTTTCTGCCAAACTCCTACCCCAGGATGACCCTGTGGAGTCTTTCAACACAGGAGCAGAATCATAGAATACTAGGGTTAGTCATCTCATCCTTCCTCCCGCCTCAGCAGGCACAAAGCTAAACAGCCCTGAGCAAACATAGCATTTACAGATCCCCATGGACTCTGGCCGGCATTTCCAAAGGCAAAACCGGGGGTGTTGAGGAGTCAGCTGACAGCACAGGAAGTCAACTGTGGGGCCACGCCAACTGGGGTGCTCAGTGCCCAGTCCTGGGCTCTGAGACCAGCCACGTTCCTGCTGTTTCCATGGAACCCAAACATTTATGTGCACTTAGTAATTTCCAGCAGAGCCTCATCGTGAGGCAGCTGCTCACCCAACTCGTGCCAGGAAAAGGCACCCGGGGACCTCCACGGTGGCTCTTCCCCACCCTCTACCTGGTGCCCTGAGTGTCAAGGTTGCACAACCACTCTGACTCCGTGTGGGCTGTTATTTAATGACATGATGAAACCAGGACACAGTTTGCTATGTTCACACCTGTGGGATGCCGAGCTACAAAAGGCAGAAGGAGAGTGAGTGGGGGCCAGCCACCCTATAAATCATCTGCATTTCCCACCACCCCCGTGTCTGATGCTCAGGCATTTCTTTAGCTATTTTCTCCTCTCTTGGTTTCTATGGCTCAAAGAGAAAATTAGCAAGGAAAGAAAGCAAAGGGCACGTTGAGGAGAAACATTTCTGTAGACATGGGGAGCTAGGCTGGCTGCAGTCTGCTGGGCTTGTCTCAGGGGTGGGGTGGGCGGCCCGCTGCTGCAGGGGCAGCTCCTGTCCAGGCTGGTGGCTCGGTGTATGCACACACACATGCGTGTCTGTGTCTGTGTGAGTGTGCACACACATAGGTGCATGTGGGTGTGTACAGAGAGGAGGGTGTGAAAAAAGGCTCAAAATTTAACCTCTGGAGAGAATGTTTTGATTCAAGAGATTTCCCACCTAAGAATCCTACTACAAAACCACAGACAAATACATCTTTCTATCAAAATATATTGCCAAGAAATATGTCAAA